GAATGAAGAATCCGGAATTCTTACGAGGACATTTGAGTTTTCGAGAAACGAGAAAAAATTCAAGTCAAGAAATCTGACCACAGTTGAAAAGTGTAAAGCAACTTATTTTTAAAGATTGTTGGATTACAAGATGATTAGTAGGAGAAGAAGGAAAAACTCAACTTCTGCTTTGAAATCTTGACTGATTTGCTAGTAGGAAACCGATTTGCTGACTCGTCATGTTAGTATACATATTCCAAATATTTCTAATTTAATTGTATTGGCAGTCCATCTGAACTGTAATGCGCGACCTAGGCCTTTTCGCACCAGTGTCGTGAGTGAATGGCAGGAGATTCGTGCTGCCGCGTAGCGCAACGCAAGTAAACCTGCGTCGCTTTTCGCTAATTACCACCCACCGCGGCTGCAAGCGGCTGTCCGGGTATCGGTCGACCGCCTCTCTTGACTAAGCAATAGAGCATGTAATAATGATAAGTTGTAGAAAGCTGTAGCGCTACCTTTCTCATGTGATATGCAGTTACTTATTCTATTTTGGTTTGGGAAACGTTTTCTCTTGACAATAATGTTTCCTCAGCTACGGCAATAAAGGCGTTCAAAAAGCGTAATTTTGAAAGGATTAAGGCCATTTTATATTCAATCACTATCAAAAATGGTAAGTATTTTGAGTGTCGATAAGTTCATACCTTGTAGCTGTTACAAATTGGGAAGATTGATATTACAAGGAACAGCCCGATTTGTGCTGTATAAGCTCTCTTATCTATCAATTCCCTAAACTCCTCCAAAATCGCAACAGTCACTTATTGAAACTCAGCCCACTCTTTACCATTATCGGCATTCTGCTAACTACAGTCATTGAAGGTCAGAAAATGTATGATCAACCAAGCGCTTGATCCTTTCATTTTACCGAGCTATCACTTAGCTGATGATACAGTTAGCAGGCCAATTCATCACTAGGATGACATGAGGAGCATCCGTTGCTGAAGAACTGACTAGTGGAGATTAGCAGGTAGATTAAGGGCATAAGAAAACGAAGATGACACATTTTTGACTTGTTATCATTGTGAGATAATTCGAGTACAAAGTTCCCTTCCGTGCCTGCTAGAGAATTTTCTGTTAGGAGTTTAGGTAACTGTTACCAATCTAGCAGCTATATACATATATATATATATCCATATAATGATAACTGATAACACGACTCCGTGCTTCATTAGTTAGTAGCGTCTGATAGTGGGTTTTGGAGCCTTCTGACCACATAGGTTATTTCCATTAGCTATTTTTTCCTTACCAGCATCACTTTTCTTCGCATCTGCTGCAACGAATATCATGTAAGATTAACAACTTAGCTAAAAGCTTCTTTCGAAAATTACTTGCTGATATCGCGGTCACTGCTGTTATCGAGAAAAGTAAATTGGATGGCTGGATAATCTTTAAAAAAAGCGTAATTTGCAGCTATAAAAGTTGTAGTCCTTGATAGTAACCAGAAATGAAAAAGATTAAAAATGGACGATCCCAAGTAAATGGATGAAGTATTGATGAAGATGAAGACGAATCAAACACAGCCTATAGGAGTCTTGAATCCCCACTATTCGAAGAAGTTCAACGAAACTTTCGCCACCTCTTCTTGTAATTTAAAGTCGCTTGTGGATATTTTGAAAAAGCAGTGGGTGCGCGTATGGATAGCGAAACGGGAATAGATTTGTACCTATCAAATGGAGGCAAAAAACGAAACAGAAGCTGATTGACGAACTGTAGCTAAAAAGTTTCTCAAACTCAACTATGAATCATATTTGAGATAGATTCAATTAGCATGACACAAGGGTTGAGCATGAGCTTCATGACAGTTTCTTGTCCACAAACTTGAAATAATAACGAGGTGTTGATTTCGAACCTTTGCTAATCTCAGTGCTATAAAGTAAGGGGATATGCTGGAGAAAGTGCTTTCAAAACTTACGACGTTTGCAAAAAACGAAACTATTGCGAGATAATAGATTTAGCTAGCTGCTGTTCTGCATCGCAAATTACATTTTTGGAGGAAAAATCGGCAACAGCACAATTTCAGCTACTCTTACATTAAGCGCGTTAAACATTTTTCAATAGGGTTGCTAGAAGTGATGAAGGTTAAATGTGTAGTGCACACATTCGGGTCACGCTGAGATAGGAATTTCACCTCTGCATTCAGTAAAGCTTTATTCAGAGACGTGTAAATGATCAGAACTTGGTGTTGTACTATCAAAGGTCGTCTACAAGCCAGAAAATTGCGGAGTTATTCTTTCAAATCATAATGATAATATTAGGTCGTCCCGAAAGCTCTTTCGCACCAAATTCAAAACATAACTTTTGATCCAACCGTTTTTATTTTTTTAAGTGTAGGTCATGCTCTTTATAACGACATCTTATCTGCTTGCTAATGATCATCTGTTCCATAGATAGGAGCTGTAAAAGAAAATCATTCAAGATTCGAATTTTCTTTGTAAAATCATGAAAAATCCTGGAACTCAATAAGAGCACAGATGATCATTTGTTATCATAGGTTCCATTACTTGCTCTTTCTAACTGTGCAACTTCTGTGCTGGTGGAGGGCCTGAAAAGTTATAGTTTTCGAGCAAGCAATGCAAAAAGGCAGTTTGATTTGTTTTGCAATTTTTCTCGTAAATCATAACTTTTGATAGAGAATCAACACAAGCTTTGCACAATTAGAAAGCGCAGGTAGCAGAAGCTATGATATCAATGCTCCGATTTTCATTGCAAGTTTCAGATTTCTTCTAACCCTACACAGAAAATCCGATTTTGAGTTATCATTTACAGCTCCTATCTATGGAACAGGTGACCGTTCGTAAGCAGCTAAAATGTCTTTGAAAAAAGCATGCTTTGCTCTTTCATATAAGTATAACGTTGAAGAGGCTTGAAAAACCAGAAGTTATAGATTTTCGAAAGTTGTGCGAAAAACTTTCGGGCGACCTACTCAGAGGTGCGATAGTCGGAGCCGAGTCTCCGCCTACCTTCACTTTTGGGTTTGAAAAAAATTTTTTGCTGAAGCTTAAAAGAAGGAAAATAAGCAAAAGGAAAGTAAAAGAAAGTATTGAGAGCATATTCCCATGTAGTAGGTCAATCTAGGCAGTAACCGCAGAGAACCAGTATTTCGAATGACAAAGTAGCGAAAAATCATGCGAAATTTCCACTGTCATATATCTGGTAGTTGAAGATGTCAGCAATTGCGACTTCATAAGTTTTGAAGACCAAGTGTTGTTCTACCAGATAGTGAAAGAATCGAGTCGATTTGAGCATTGGCCGCCGAGAACGAGAATTTTGAAAAATTAAGCGATTTTAGGTTGCTTAATGACAGCTGACGTTTAAACTCCTACAAATCTGGAATGTGAAGGTTTGCAATGTTCAGACTTCATAGGTTTTGTAGAGCAAGAATTTCTCTATCGGAGCGTATCTTAGCCGTACCGATCCATTGGGATACCGCCGAGATCCAGGGTCTTGAAAAAGCAGGTAAAAATCCGCTTTTTGAACTTCAACAGCTCATAACTTCTTCAGAATTGCACGAATCATGTTGCGACTTCATAGGTTAGATTCTTCTCATCAAGAGCTTTCAGGAGGTATATAATATGTGGGGGGTTCAAAGATTTTTGCGACTCTAACCCAGGGTGGAGACTTTTCACCCCAAAGTCTCCACCTCGCCCATGTTAATGTATTGGCCGGAGACCGCCAGTGGAGACTTTGGGGTGAAAAGTCTCCACCCCCGGGCATATGCCGTGAAAGTCGCGAAACCCCCACATATTATATATCATCTGAAAGCTCTTGATGAGAGGAATCTAACCTATGAAGTCGCAACATGATTCCAACACAATTCTGAAGAAGTTATGAGCTGTTGAAATTCAAAAAGCGGATTTCTACCTGCTTTTTCAAGACTCTGGATCTCGGAGGTGTTTCAATGGATCGGAACTGCTAAGATATATTCTGATAAGGCAAACCTTACTCTACAAAACCTATGAAGTCGCAACATCACACACTTTCACTTTCAAGATTGATATGAGTTTAACTGTCAACTGTCAAAAAACAGGCAAAAATGGCGTGAATTTTTAGAATTCCGGTTTTCAACGACTACCTCTCGAATCGACTCGATTCCTTCACTATCTGATAGAGCACCATTTACTCTTTGAAACCTATGAAGTCGCAACTGCTGACATCTTCAAACAACAGATTTATAGCAGTGGAAATTTCGCATGATTTTTTACTATGTAAATATTCAAAATTCTGGTTCTCGGCCGGTACTGCCTAAATCGACCTACTTCCTTCGCAGTGTGTTATGACAAAATTTACTTAATAAAATCCGTACAGTTAAACAAACTTTTACCTCCAAATACACCATTTACTAAACACGTCTATTTTGAATTTTTTTAAATGAAATTTATAAATATTGTTAATATTTATCGTATCTGTGGCCCTAAAGAGGGCCGTTGGGTCACAGTTCGACCTAGAAAGATAGCTCTGTTCGTCCGTCCTCCCCCCCTCCCCGCCCGTCGACATTTTTGGGAGGTGAGTGTCTGGCACTACCACCTTCACTTTTGGCCGGTCAGTGGTAGCTGGAACCACCTTCACTTTTGGGGGGGCCCAGCTCCACCTATCGCACCTCTGGACCTACTATTCTGTGAAGCGTGTAGAGAAAGCAGGAAACGCAGATGCTGTACAGTTAATATCTGTACAAGACTTTCCCTGCGAATACGGGGAAAATCAAATAACCTCTCCGTGGAAACAGGGAACAATTGAAAAGATTTTTTCGATTTGAAGATTGACTTTTGCTGAAAAAAATCTTTCTTTCAAGCAGTGCGACTATTTAGCAACCAACGCATATTATGGACGAGAAGAAATTCAAACACTACTAATTTAAAGCAGCGAGAATGTCTGAGAATGATTTGACATGACCTGCCATGAAGTGCAGAACATCAGTTTCATATAAAATGAAAAGCTGGTTTAATAGTTTATCTGTCATTGCAGACGGTTGTAGCAGAGTCTTGAAACAATTTTTTGGTTTACTGCAATCGTACATGTAGAATTTGATTGCTTCAATATTTTTACAAAGTAAATTACTACTGAAAACCTTGTTTCTCATAGATTCGTTATGGCACGTAAATGTAGCTCTAGTGCAGAGCCGTCTTCTTACACACGAACGCTCTCTGTTTCTCGGCGCAATACCAGTCATCCCATTTCTGATAGAAAACACCATAATGCGAGTCGAGACGATGATCACTGTACAGCTGAAATGAAAGCCCATAAGAGTCTTCCAGAAATGATTGGAAATGGTTTGTAAAAAAGAAGTTGAACTAGGACCCGACACGACGTCTACACGGGAGGCGCTCGCTACTTGTGGATGGCAATCAAAAATTGTTACGACGTGGCGATACAGTATGCGCGGGAGGAAGGAATCTTTTCCATACATATGCATGCTAGGTTCCCATTATCCTAGATTCCTACTTTTTGTACCTAGCCTTGATTTTCCTTTTCCCCTCAAAATCGCGGAGTTCTAGCTCAGGGTCTTTTTATAGAGCAAACCTCAATGATCAAGATTTCTCCTGTATAGTAGTGTCGTTTACCTACAAAACATGAAACATATTTTGAATAACTTTTGCGAAACGATCACTTTGTACTGTATGTTTTTCTTGTCCTTCAAAACGTTTTCGTACAGGTTTTGGACTTCAAATAAATAGTACAAACTAATATGACGGGAATGTGTAACCTTGACCGAAGATGAAATGCTTAGCTTTTCGAGTTATGCTGGTCAAGTTCTATGCGTGCTGCTTACTGTCAGCCTCTCAGAGAATCGCTGGGGAAGGCCGCCATGCTAATTATAGGCAAGCGGGCACCAGAAAAATAGTTCTGTGAGCTCTCGCGATCCGCTTGCAGATGTTTGAAGGAACGGTGGCCAGTTTTCAAGCAAACGCCCAGAGTACAATCGCGGATACAGATTAATTGCGGTGCACTGGCCGCATTTCGTGGACTTTCCGCGAGAGTAAGCAAAATTGTTGTGAGCACCACTGTCTTCTGTGAAGGACCGCACAGCCGTAGGTATTTCTACTGTGCCCCAAAATCGTGTGATCAAACCCAACGATGACACCTCTGCCTATAGAATGCCTTTGCTCTGCGTACGCCCGGCACTGCGTAACAAGAGTTAGAACGCTCGGAAATCTGGCGTTCACAAAGAGCCATTCTTCCACCTCTTAGTAGCAAGAATAAAGCTTGCCACACCTTTCCAGCACATATTTTTCCAAAATTTTTCGCAGATTAATCTGCTAGCCTTTTCAGTCTACGCACTTGCTGTTCATACACTGTTTGATACACAATTCAATAAAACGTGAATTTTGAAACTTGCTCATTAAGCAAATGTTTTCGAGACAAGTTGGTCGGATTTTGCCTGTCCTTCATGCATACCTTCGATAGTCTAGAGACAGAGCGTCAAAAGTGAAGGTTGTTTGAACATCTGACGTCTTAAATAGTGAAGGTTGTTTGAAGAAGATCAGAGAAGAAAATATGACGTAAAACAGATATGAAAAGCAAAAGAAACTGCTGAAAACCGGATGAAAACGCTGCAAAAAGGTCTGAAGTCTTTCATTTGGCGGCTTTTCAAAGTGCAAGTTTTCGCTCCAGGACCAGCAATTCGCAACACGGGGTTTTGATTTTTATGCGTCCTTCAAATTTTTACCCCCGCATTGATGTTCCTGTTTCCTGAGACGTTGTCTGGATTGTTGCGCTTATTGTTCTGAGCAATAATCGCCCAAGCTGGAAAAAAATCAATGCGAAAGCACTGAAACAGAGCAAGGTAAAGAAAAACGCGCTTTTTACGATTTTTCGCAAAAAATTCCACCATATTCGAAGAGATAAGGGCTGGGTGGTTGTCTGCATTATGAACAGAATGAAGATCTATAGAGTGTACGAAAAAACCGCTGAAAATAGTTAAACTAGGAGAAAAACAGGAGATTTTCGAAAACAAGGTTTTTGCCGGATTTCTCGGTTAGATCAAAAAATGTGGTTCTGGGACGTTATCAGCGTGAAAATAGAAATCAAGAGCTTCAAAATGATGCATAGCATGCTAAAATTGGATTTGAAACAGCGAAGAAAAGGGTATCAGCAAATGCCCCGCGCCCCGCAATTGGGGTAGCGAGGTAGCGCGCAGCGCGCGGTGACGCAGACGAGCAGCAGAGACAGACCAGGGCCGACGGGGCATTCGGCTCTGGTAGTAGATCTCCGCGGAATCTCAACGAAACCCTGCAACATTATAATTCTGATCGTCATGACACGACGAGGAGCATGACAACGTCTCAAGCTTTGAAAATCACTCATTAACGAGATAGACCAGCGTTTTTGTGCGCGACTCCCTGCGCGAGATTTAAGCGCAGTTTCTCGTTTTTATTGGACGCCAACAGCTTTCCTAAACTTCTGAAACTCGATTTTGGTCAAATGAGAGATTAAGTGAGAAATCTTGTCCTGAATTTTGCGAAAATCCCGAAGAAACCTTCTTTTTAACGTTAAAAAAGGCTATGAAAACGCAAATTCTCGATTTAGCTGAGATAAGCTAAAGATATTATTCCCTGTATTTGCTTCATTAACATTCGTTCCGATATAGTCAGGATAATACCATCCGGAGCAAAGCCCCGGATGACTTCTGTTTTTTTCCAGGTGAAGGTTGTGTCCGCCCATAGCCCTCAAAATGAAGGTTACCAGAGTACGTGGCTCTATGTATCGAGGGTATGCCTTCATGTTCTCGGCATCTTTGAAAGTGTGTATTACTTGCACTGCATTGTAGTATCTCCTTCTACATCTAGAAACTTCCAGCATGACATATGCCATCCTCGCGCTAGCCGCGCCGAATCTATACAGAAAGAGAGAATGCAGCGATGCTGGACCGAAAGTGGTCGGGGCAAGAGCAAGTGCTCAGAGAATCGCCGGGGGTAGGCGGTGCGATTTATATGCAAGCAGGCACCAGAAAAATAAATCGCTGATTTCTTGCAGTCCGCTTGCGGATACTTGAAAGTGTGTTAGTCACATTTAGACCAAGGCCACAAGAACAATGCGCATTTTTCACAGAATAATTGCGGCAGTGGTGCATTCTTGCGGACTTCTTGCGAGAATTTGCAAAGTTTTTGGGGGCGCACGGTCCTTTGTGAAGAAATTCACGACCTGTACTACCTTTCGCTGAGAGAAAATGCCCCAAACTGGGTGGTTAACCCATAGATGACACCTCTGCCATACAGAGTGCTGCCTTTGCTCGGCGTACGCCCAAAACTGTGTAACAAGAGTCAGAAGGCTTGCCGAAGGTTACCCCCACTCGCTGGAAGAAATTATTTGACGAGAGCTTGCAGAAAATTCTTGCTGCCCGCTGGCAGAACATGCGACAGTGGAAGTAACGCTCGCAAGATGTGGCCACGCCCCAAAATTTTGCTGACCGCTTGCAAGCGAGTTCGCGGTTCGCCTGCCCCGGCGATTATCTGAGTGATTATCAAAAAGTTGGAGTTTTGCAAACAAACGGGCAATGTAAGTCTCATTATATCAGCGAAGAAAGAAAAACTCATGTTTCGATTTTACGGAAAAGGTTGATACATTTCGAGAAAATGTTACCAATACCGATTCATTTCTTGTTTCAATCAATTCTGCAAACCTTAGATAATATAGAGCCGAATCCTACTGACACACTGACAAAATCACCAAGCATAGTTCGTGAGAAAGGGAAATCCGGCTAAAATTCTGCTTGAACCATTATCTCAAACTTCTTGCATTTTGTCTGCCGTTTGCTCCCTCGCACTCACTTCCGATGTAGCTAAGTTATCCGGCTTTTTGGTTCGTGTTGGCATAGCATAACAGAACTGATAATTGCGCTCAATCCTAAACAGCGTATATATGTCCTCGTTTCGCTTCAATATGCTAGTTCTCTACCCCACTGCATTTTCTTTATCAACATGCTCACTTATGCAGAAAATGAAATCTGGTAAAAATAGTGAAAATTTTGCAAACGATATTATATTCGTAGCCAGCATGTTTAACACGTTTCGGAAATTCCTTGTGCATCATAGCCCGAATGAGGAAAGCTAGAAGATATTTCTCGGAAACTAGAGCCCTTAAAGAGCTAAAAATGCGTTTGTACTTCTAAGAGCTTGTGGCATACAACTGTTAGTGTAAGAACAGCACAGCATCACTCTGGTAAGAATAAGGAATTTTTTATTTTCTTGGTTTCTAGCCAATGAAAAATTACGGCAACAGCACATATGAGTGTCTGATGTGGAGCGTATATGCGTGAGCGAGTGAGAGATTTGTAGGACTTTTGTGAACAAAGATATGAAAAATTTTCAATTTTTTGGGCATCTGAAACTTTTTAGATTTTGGCTCTAAACTTGAGGTGGATCGAAGCTGGTGCAAAAGCATAAACGCCATCTTATAAAGCTTGCTTTGCTCTATCGAACGGTCCTGATGTCTATTTAGAGTGAGTAGTGTACGACTTATCACAGCGAAAACTCAAAAATGAAAAAACTTATGGGACAACCTAATAGTTTTTAGAGTTATCTATTACATTTATCGATTTTATCATTTTTTTAAACAATATTTGACTACGGAGCTGGGTGTTGGCACAGGGGGTAAGTGGGCATGCTGATTACGAAAACAAAAAGGGGATAGGGGAACTAGCATTTAGGAGTGGGCACAGGGAACTCTTTACACGGACAGGAATAAAACCTTTATCATAGTTTTTGACAGGGTCGGGGGGACCTGGGTTGCTAGAATTGCTACTCAGATAATCGACGGTGGCAGGCGGACAGCAAACGCGCTTTCTTTCGACGGTCAGCAGAATTTTGGGGCGTGACCAAACCTTCAGCAAGGGTTTTCCCGTTACTGTCGCATTTTCTGCCAGCAGGCACCCATACACAGTTTTCTGCGAGCGGCCCTCAATATTAGGATAAACGGTAAAAAATGGGGCATCTTGAAAATAATTGTAAATTTCTCAAGAAATAGAAGTGATTGAACATTCTAATTTCGAACGATATCAGAAGATATTATTCTCTTCTAAACAGTACCTATATAAGGTCATTTACATGCCTAATAACTTTCATATTTGCTGAACTGCGAAGTTAGTCACTTCTGTCGTCTTCGACATTGATGAAGTATCTCTGCGTAAAACATGCGAAACCATCCAATGTACCACTGCTGCATCGGGTGAAGGTACAGTCACCGGATCCACCATGGCTTGATGGCCGCAACGCTTGGAGTCAGGAGGTATGGTCACTAGCAGTTTCGAGAACAAAGACACGTGCTATTTACTTCTTTGCAAAGGACCGCACTTTTCCTGACCACCTTCTGATAGAGCTCTTTACGCTCTATCCATCCATGTGCTGCTTACCTCAGATTTCTCCTATCTTCGTAGATTATATTAGGTTGTCCCGAAAGTTTTGTCCGTTTTTTCAACCTATCATACAAACGCATGGGACGAAGATAGGGAAACGCTGTAAGCACTATTCGACGCAACTTGTCCTTCTCTTTCTAACTGTCATGCTTCCATGCCGGTTGAAGTTTTGTTCACTGAGATAAACGTCGAAATTTTGAACGCATGGTTTTTACCATGTCCAAGGACAATTTTTCACAATCTTCATTTCCAACCTTTGAAAAATCTTTGATAGCCCTCAGATAGAGTAAACAAAGGGCAATGCACTGCAATTATTTGGCATATCTAGCTGGCTTTTCAATAATTTTAAAGATAATTTTTTCAAAAGTCTTCACTTTTGCGAAGTTTTAAAATACAGAAACGCCTCGAACACTAACAAATCATCGGATTTTGAAGCTTTCAAAAACCGATTACGATTACTCACTATTTTTACGAAACAAATGAGCGTTCACCGCTTCGAAATATAAGATTTTGCATTTTACGTATACACGCTGGGGCGGGGTCAAATTCAAGAATTAATTTTATCTCCAAAGACCCCGCAAATTGGAGAGGAAATGCACTCACTGGAAAGAGGAGGAAAAGCTGCATCGAATAACACCTTAGTTGTGCGCCGTTTCATGATCTCTGGCTTTTGGCATCACCAAAAGTGAAATTTGATAACATCAAAAAAATAATTCTAAAAAATTTTCAAGGCTGGCTATAGATGCCGCAAAATTGCATTATATTGCCCTTACTCTATTTGAGGGCTATCAAAGATCTTCCAAAGGTAGAAAACGAAGATTGTGAAAAATTGTCAAACTTGGACATAGTAAAAACCATGGGTTCGAAATTTCGGCGTTTATCTCAGTGAACAAAAGATTAGTCGGCATGGAAGCACGACAGTTAGAAAGAGAAGGAAAAGTTGCGTCGGATAGTGTTTAGAGCGTTTCCCTATCTTCGTTCCACGCGTTTTTATGATAGGTTAAAAAAACGGACAAAACATTCGGGACAACCTAATAGATCGAAACATGATTTTTTGGTTTTTATTGCACCAGAAATTTGCAATTTTTTGAATTTTTTGCTTTTCTTATCTGGAAATGAAAGGAAAATCTACATATTCAATAAATCATTTGAAAGAGCTTGAGAGACTCTTTCGAATGGTAATAGGCAAAGGTCGCATATGTAAGTGACCTTTGAGTTGCAGCCTGCTTTCTGTTGCTGGAAACAAAAAATTACAAAATGTAATGAAAATAAAGCTGCCCCATTTTCACCGCTTACCCTAATAGTTCCTTTCAGCGAGCGCTGGTCAATTTTTAGCAAGCGTCCGGACTTATAGGCGGTTTCGGGAGTACGAGCAAAAGTAAGATCTATAGGTGCCACTGATGGTTTGATTACCGAGTGTGAGGAGCTTTCGCTCAGTGGAAATACCTGTGAGCTGTGCCGTCGTTAACAAAGGACCGTGAGCCCGCGTTAATTTTGCACATTCTCGCGGAAAGCCACCGAGAATATGCAAAATTAATGCCGGCCGCAACTGACCTATGAGAACGCCGCGGTTGTTCTCCGAGCATTCATCCAAAAAACTGCCAAAATTCTTCTAAATATCTGTAATCGGATCGCAAGGAATCAGCGAACTATTTTTAGTGCTCGCTTGCCTATAATTAGCACAGCCGCCTACCCCCGGTGATTCTCTGAGTGGGAGTGGGTACAGGGAACGCTTGTGCACGGATAGGGATGAGACCTTCGTCATAGTGTCTAAGGTCTGGGCGGAGCCAGGGATGCCAGTTAGTATACCGTTTAAGAAGGGTTTCATTTCGTTGCCTTTCTATAGCACGCAACTTTTCTATGCTTAGGGTTCTGGCTCACAATGATGAACCAAAAACGCAAACAACCCGTCGCAAACAAAAACGACAAAAGAGAAACTTCAAGGGCGCACCAAATTACGTCCGAATGTTGAACATTACATGGCATTATATATATTGCAGCCTAATTTGCAAATCTTGCAGCACCAAAAAAATTTATCTGCAGTGGTGGTCTGAGATGCCGAGCTTGAGTGTGAGGAAAGATTGCAAACTTCAGATGTTTACATCTTCTAATCATCGACATTCTGCTTGCATAGGTGATTTGACTTTTTGCTTCTGGCCATTTGAAAAAGCATTATACGCGCCAGCTATCCGTATTTATGTGAAAATCTTACCATCACGCATCGCTCATTGTCAGGAGCATCAGGTGCACCCACAACCCATTCTAGATGGTCCACTTTTGTGCCGTCAGTCCAGGTCCATACCTTTCTTCCATTACCTTTAGCCCATAAACCGATCCAGGTCAAGTCGTGGTAATCTTTCCATTGCTTACCCATTCTTGCCAGCTCTAAATTTTTGATTCATGTTCTCTATAGGTTCTCTATACATCAACCGCATGGACTGACTGCCTCACTGCGGGCACACGACGCGCTTTGGAATTGCTGTCTCGGTACAAAACACTTTCGTACAAGTCGTGTCACGTTGTTTTAGCCGCGATACGGCTAGTTCTTGCAGTCGATGAATCACTGGCTAGTGCCGGACGAGAAGGCAAAAGCAAAATTAGTAGCGTGGCGCGAACACTATCTTAACGCGTAACTACCCCGTTCCAAACCCCGCACCTCATGCGCTTCGGGGCTAAATACCGCGCTCGAGCTCGGGCGGTTGAGCAAGACTTCGCAGCGTACGCACATACATTGAGGCATGGGGCTACGCTGCGTCCCAAACCTCCAAGATTATGAAACATCGTCCGGCGTTAGCCTTCAATCATATAACATGAATAACACACCGGCTACAAAAACATTTTCGGCGGAGCTGTGTATCGAAGTCAAATGTCCTCCAAGACTGTTACAGATGTATTCGGCATCGTAAGCATTTGCATCAAGGAATGTCTGTAAAGTCAAAACTTAGGATGAAGTTTCTATGTACTTTTCCGTTGATTTTATGGCAGTCTTGTTGAATTACGAAGATAATTATTTTATAGTTTGAAGGCTCCGTCCAGAGTGCCGGAGCTGTGGCAAAATTGCTAGCACTAACCTACGCCGTGCTGTCTCGGCGCTATCTAGATAGTACATTTCGTTTTGTTGGGGGCGTGGCATATGGTTGGGCCAGATTGTGCGGTGTACGCGATGTACGTCTCGTACGTCCCACACCCTATTGCACGTGAGCGTACGCCACCTACGTCGCGTATGCCTCACTGTCTGGCCCAACCCAAAGCAGGCCTCGTTCCCAGCAGGTATTGATCGGAATCATTATTGAAAGTTCCGGTAGCGCTGTGCCGACCCGGTGCTAGCTCAGCGTCGGCACAGCTGGCACTTTGAACGCAGCCTAAAAAGCCTGAGCTATTCAAAAGCGGTATTAATCCTACTCCATGCCAAACTCTTGCTGTTCAAAGAGAAACGTTGCCATCAGGGAAAAACATACAACCAAACTTCGTACGTGTTTTGGAGAGTTTGCCTCTTCTAATAGAGAAACTGCATGAGTTTAGCGCGAAGCACAAAAGAGTGACAAGCAGTCAAAATTAGAATCAACTGTAATTACTTTTCATTCGAGGCTAATGTACAATCGAGTAGATTTTCCGCTTAATATGGTGTTGCAGAAGGTGAAATGCGGTAAAATTTGCGCGTGATCAAGTAGCCAGGACAGTAATGCCAGCCTTTTGCGCTCGCAATTGGCCGGCGCCACAGACGCAACTATTTGTTCACGCGCCAAATTTACTGCATTTCACCTTCAGTGCAAGCACACTATATTAAGCAGAAAATCTACTCGACTGTAGGTTCTTAAGCTGACAGTGCTACATCAAAAAGTGAGGAAAAGTGCAGCAAAACAAAGTTTGCACTGCTAGGAAACAAACTTGCTTATTTTTTGTTGCAGAGATTTGAAATGAGACAAATGTAGATGAAGAATGTGCAATTACTACAGATCAATTTATTTGGCGTTGATACTCAGAATTAATCTTATTTTTTAGGGGATGATCATAAATGGCTTCTTCCAAAAAACTTTAACAGAATACATTTTGTTAAATCATCTTTGTTTAAGAAAAGCTGGCACATACCTTGTAGCAAGAATCAGTTTTGTCGAAGTAAGTCCACCCACTCTCGCAAAGCCAAGGGCACGCTAAAAGGCAGTTTGGATTACTAAAGAACAAAATCTTCTAAAGCAGTTAGCCCTGACAGCTGTTAAAATGTACTGGTGTTTTTATAAAACGAAGAAAAGGAGTCAGCGCTTGATGTTATATGTTCGTCATATTTTCACTTCCAAGTACACCAAATCTGATATCTGCTCCGAAATTTGCCAAAAGTCGTTATTATCGTTAGTTCAAGCTGCTGTTCGTGCTTAGCTAATAATTCGTTTTCGGTCCTTCCTCATATCCGAGTACAGGGTGTCCCAAAAGTAAGTACACACTTTTCAATCGTTAATATCTCTCTTCCCAATGGGTCTTTTTTACCATTCAAGTACCATTCTGTAGAGGAGGCTTCAACTTAGATTTACAGTATCAAGCGAATCACCGATCGCTCTTCGTTACTGTAGGATTGCGGTAAGGACGTTCAGCATGTGGAACTTTTGCGAAATATGCCATCTGACAAAAAATTTTCAAAAAATCTGAAAAATCGTCTTACTAGGGTTTTCGCGCACGCTGATTCCAGTACACAACTTTTCACAATTGTTTTCAGCTTTTTTGACGGTAAAATCACAATTCAGACAAATACTGAAAATTCAGTTATAACACTTTACCTGGGATAACTTTGGAAATAACCATAGCAGTAAAGTAGAAACTTTATATTCAAAATCAGCGGCTTCCATTACTATAGTACAAGAGTTTTTGGCTTGTTTGTTTCTGTAGGCAGAGTATGGCTTCCAATGGCCTAAAATCCTTGTCGAAGTTCCTACAGTAGTCCTACTGTAATGAAAAGAGATCGATGATTCGCTTGATACTGCAAATCTAAGCTGAAGCTTCATCTACAGAATAGTACTTAAATGGTGGAAAAAGACGCAATGGGAAGAAAAATATCAACGATTGAAAATTGTGTACTTACTTTTGGGAGACCCTGTAGACTGTGCCTAGTTTCCCTACTCATAGCGTCTATTTTCCTCCGTCGCACCATATATAGGGAATTCCAATCTGTGTGTCACGGTTCAAAACGTTTGCTGATGAAGTATCTTTATAGCTAAGTAGTGCTCGAGGCAACATCATTTTTGTAGGGAACTGGCTTTATCCCAGGGTTGAACGGGTTGAATTCTATCCCAGACTTGTACATTATTCTAGCGCAGCTTGAGGTTGAGTACCAAAGGAATGGCTTTGAAAATACGGGTTGATGGTATTTGAAGATTGATTTGCATTTTGATGCAGAACTGACACCCCAAGCTCAAACTGTAACATGAGTCTCAAATCATATAAGAAGAAGATGTTCACTAACCTACGTTGGAAGCATTGAAATAAGAAGAACCAGAAGTTTGGCCCAAACTTCTGTAAAAGCTTTATTCTCAGGTGGATTTTTTGAGGTAAAACACAAACTTTGAAATTGATTTGTTGCTGCTCGGATTTACAAGACTGTTTGCCAATGGAATCCATACAAACAACAGGAACTTCATCGAGCTCATCCTAAATACCTTTGAATACTTGTTTTCACTATTAGCTATGATTTTCGCTATCATATACTGTGAAGCATCGCAGTTTCTTTTGTGAGCGAAAATAGATTTCGATGCGTTACTCATGTAATTCACGTAAGCAAATTGGGAAGACGATGCATTATGACAAAGTAATTTTTTCGCAACAATTTTGCAAACAATTGAAAAACACCAAGGACATTATCTTTAGAGGTCTTCTATAGTCCTTTTTGCAATAAAATGTATTACTATAAAAAATCTGTATAGTAAAGAAGAAATACTGAAACAAAAGACGCTCCCATTTACCACCTCATGGCAAAAGTGTACAATAAACGAAAGACCATGACAGAGCATTCCTTTTCTACCACCTGGACATATCAGAAAGATACGAGAACTTGTGTCGGAGCAGGCAGCCTGGTAACTTTATGATTTGCCCAATTTTGTTATCCAAGATGATTATATATACAGCTCTTGGATTAGTCGTCGATTTTCATTTCGTTGATAACTTCTTCATCCAAAACGTGGCAAATCTGACTTCTCACATAAAGCAAGAAAACAAAGACAAAAGAGCAATAATCTCTTCAAAATATTTGAGTGAGGTACTGTTGAGATGATTTGAGGAGTCGTTGAGCAAAGAGTATGTAGTCTGACAGTATGCAACAGATTACCAGAGTCATATTGGTCGATATGCCATTTTTTACAACATAGTGTGCTTCTTTCATCAACGACTTTGCTATGAGACGCTAAGCTGTACTTAAATATAAGGCGATTAACCAACGGTTGAAACTCGCGGTCCAAAGTGTCAGAAGCTAATACTTGTCTTCCAAAAATCAGCAGTAAGGTGTGGAACCAGTGCCGTTTCAAGAATTGGAGTTTGAAGTACGATGACAGGAACGCTGATAATTTTTGATAACAGTTCAATTAGGCCACAAAGTATTGAAAGATTCTACGAGTATGAATGCTAAACATCAATTCTTGAACTGGTTCAAGGCAAAAATCGTATTATAGGAACTAATGTCAATTATTACATGATGTAGGAATCAAATCATTTATTACATGGTGTCTTTTGTACATTCTAACCTACCCTCAAGTAATTGACATTTAGAGGCCACCCTTTGTAATACTTTTAAATAGTTTCGATTTTGTGAATACCAAACATCTACAAGACGCAAGACAAGCTTCGACCTACTAGCCCCTCAGAAGAACTTTGTAAGTGGTACAATAATAGTTTCTAGAATTACTTACTACCTTTATTGATTTCACCGAATTTTTGCAAACTTTGAGTTACGGGGTTGGAGTTGGCATAAGCGGGTAAGCGATGCTGAATGCGAAAAGATAAGGGGATAAGGAACGGCATGTATAAGTAATCCGGGTATGCCAGCTAGTCATAGAGTAACGCATTAGCCTATAACGAATCGCTTGCGAGAATAAATGATTGCCCTTGTCTTACATAAAGCAGACCTGTAACTGCTACAAGGAAAGATAAACAGAGTCAAGCGTGGAGTGTGGCATGCTAAATGGGAGTCGTATTGAGGGGCCAGAAAGGGGTGGGGGAGGGTCGTTATCAAAGTGAATCTGATGTTAGCGATAACATGGTACATGGTTAACATGGTTAACAATGTCACATAGGTCTCATGCAAAATACTACAATTAATGTTTTAGCCCATCGTATACATCAACAAGTATAATAAAATATGTATAAAAGCATAAGAGCATCGCTCTCGTAATTAAGGATTGCGGCCGTGCGCCGAACGCACTCTACTTCATTGTCGAAGAGGCTACCTAATGCATGCGAGCCTATCACAGGACTTGCAGGGACTAGCACATTATTCAGTGCTTTTATCCTCCCAACTTGCTCTGGTAGCAATCTACCGACCCCGGAGGGTAGAGGGCTTTGTTAGCCCAGGTTTCGTGATTATGTCAAATATCTCCTGTGGGTCAAGTTTCAGCAAACTCTGAGGTTTCCAAATATTGGGCCTTTAAGTGCAATGGTCATTTTCGATCATGTTTTGGCTTCAAAGCCAAAACATGATCGAAAATTGCTTACTATACGAATCCTACTTTAAGGTCCTACAAATTAAGTAATGTAGGGCATGCCGAATTTGCGTTTCTTTTGTTCTTGGCTTTCAATAACTCAGACTAGGGAAGACCACTCGAGCTCAAATCACTTTATCGTAAATTAAGAGCCTTAGACTATCGAATATATATCTACATTCTTGTCGCCCAATTTGGCAGTTCACGTAATAGCGCAGACTTACAGGGTGCGCCAAAATTTTTTGCGCCAAAATAATCAAGGTAATGCCACAACAATGGCAATGAGAAATTTGGTCTGGATTTAATGTCACAGAATGCCGTAAGCATACTCTACAAAAAGCACTATCAAGATCCCAAAACGGTCTTTATTTAGAGAAGTAAGAATTGCAAAAAGCAATGTTTGTGACAGAAAAAACGCAAGCTGACGCAAATTATGAAATAGTCAAAATTTTTGTTTTGAATTCTTCTCAAGATTCCGAACCTCAGTGATCTTAATGTCAAAAATTAAATCTATTCTATGGCGAAGTCTTCACCTGAGAGAAGCGGTCACTAAAAAGATACATACTGGGCAAGTTAGTGGGCCTCTACCCGCATGCAGCACGCGTCAAAGTCGGAGAAATATCATGATTTTTATCAGAATCCATGTTCGACTATCCATAAATCTTGGCATAGTTTGAATCTTCTGATTGCTTCCTTTAGCAGCGTCCAAGATTGGTACAGATATTTATTCCACAATAAACAGACTGACGTCTTGGCAAACTCGCCTTCTTCAGAGTCTGAAAAGTCGAAAACACATAAGTGAACTATCCGATCAAATGCCTTATCGACTACAGAAAAAAGCCCAACCCTCTAGAAAAGCAACAGTATCAACCAAAACGCAAGATTAAGCCAGTGCTCACCTTGAGAGGTAATAGATTAGGTGGGTGCAGACCACTTATGTCAAAAACTGTACTGCATTACTTTTATATTAATCTAGTGACCCTGTCCTGACCTGACCTCATTATTCAAAAGCTATCATGATTTTCTACCGAAAAGCAAAACAGGCAATTTTACTTCTTTCAACTTGGATACAATGTTGTAGAACCGAGAAAACAATATCAATGACCGCTGGCTGAACCGGTCTTATGTTCATTTGGCGCTCAATGATACACGCGCAAGTAATTGTGGCGCACCCTGTAGAGTGTCATCGTAACCCAATATTTTCGCAGAAGCTTCCATTTGCATAGGTAAGAAAAAACGATTTTATCTTTCTCTAGAAGAAAAGAATCCATGAAATTCCTGCTGTGTAAAGAAGAAAACTGAGTACAGCAACGATATTTATGAGAGCAGATATATTATATTAAGGTTGAAGGTAGCTTAATGAGGTGTTGCACAACTCCTAAAAAGGTGTGGCAGCTATAGCGTTTTTGAGGTTGTGCCACACCCCATCAACTTACCTCCAGAGAGAATTTTAGGGAACAATTTATATAAAGTTCTATAGCAGAATTTCGTAATCTTTGTGGAAAGGTTAGAGTTGCTCGTTTGCTTTTGTTTGAGTAGTTAATAGAGGCACAATCACTGTAAGCGAAAAATGGGACACACGAGATTTTGGCTAGCTTCTAATTTCATGGTTTGATGGTTATTTGAAGCAGAATTTTTGATGTAGGCAAACAGGAAATAGTGCTCTGTATTGATGTATCCGCCCATCTATGTTACCAAATGCAAACTTACAATTAAACTCCAATGATATAATAAATCGATGCCAGCTAAAAGCAGGAGTTCCGCCGTTTCAGGAAAGTTGATTTTTCCTCTTTGAACGAGTAAGTCTGCAGTTTAAGTGGTGCTATACTATGGAAAGCTCTTTTACGTATCCGAGAGCAACCGTCTCATCAAAGAGTAGTCAAGAGGTGTAAATAATCAACTTGCCAAGCCACTCTTAAAGCAAGCCGACTACAAGGGGTTTGGTTGGTCGGCTTACTGTGGACGTTAATCGTGGATCACAGAACCGGTGCTAAATAGGGAATTCGAGTTTTGACACATCAGAAAATGAGATTTACAGAAAATTCACACATGATTTCGAGAGCAAAGTAATCCCATCCACGCCGTTCAAGTAATCGTACTAACCTGCAGATTCGCACATCGACTCTACACAGTGTATGATTTCGCTATGGTAATATGAAGCTGGCACCAAAAGACGAGGCTGTCTAGGCCATTGTAAATCTGTAGGTCCATAATGCGAACTACCTCACATACGTGTTAGAAAACACATCCGTTGACAGTGCTCTGCTAACAGCGGCATCGTTAAGAAATACATCGGAAACTGTGTCGTGCGAATTCTCCAATTGTTAGGCCTCATCGCGTGAATACAGTGTCACTATGGCACTTCGTTACAAGACAAAGCTTCACATATTGTACTACATTTCCATTTCCATCCGAAAACCTTTAGTGTTAAACTTAGCTTCGATGATAAAATGTTTTGCCGTTTGCTTCTCATTTTTACACAGATTTTCTGAAGGAATTTGACATGCCTAGTTGATCTCATTGCGCACTAGATGCGGTAGTTTCAGCTGTGTAACCTGGTGCATGATTTCGCGCGTTAGCAGTAGGATGAATATTGCCATTCGCCGTCAATTACGAATGAGACGGGTGTGAACACCTGCAAGTGCGCAATGCATGGCGATTCACATCCTTGCTTGTATACAAAGATTTGCCTCAGCGTTGTAGAAACACTAATATTCAAAGGAACAGGCATTCTATACACTCAGAGTTTCTGTAAAACTGGTATCATGAGGCATTTCCTATATTTATTTGCAAAAATGTTGAGCCCTTCATAATTTTTTTACATAGCGAAGCCTTGAGTTTCTTATGGTTAGTACACGATGAATTAAAACCAATTATTGGGCCTAGTAGGATATCAAGGTCTCTTATTTAGAGGATTACAAGTGACCACAAGCAGCAAGGAAATCTGGCAACAGGTGCATTATAAGCGCAGAAAAGCAGCATTTTTTTGGAACAAGAAGTGTATGGCATTGGTAAGCTAATCTACATTTTATCTACCGCGCATCTAAATGCGATTTATTAGTTCATCATTATTTCTGACAAGCTTTTAGCTCTTTGGTTGCGTTCATACTGGTCTGAATGTTCGGGAACAGTTCGAGCGCTGCGCTAGAACTGTTTCCGAATTTGAGATCAGTATGAACGCAGCCTTTAACTGCATAGCGGATACCGTAGTTTTCGCCGCCTAATAAAATTAGTTTTTCGCAGGATCAGTATAAAGATTTGAAAAATAGCGAAGCTTAACCTCGTTAAAGAACGCGGGTTGCAGTTTGGTCATTTTCTAAGAGCTGTTGACACACGTATGAAAGTTCAGCATGAAAAACTCCATGAAATGATGCCAACAGCGTTTATGCAGTTTTGATCTGCGAAATGTCGTTCAAAAGAATTGAACTTGCTTTCCGGACGTCCGAATTTACATAAAAAGGAGATAGCGGTCAATGAAGGCTGCATAACAAGTGTCAGTTCACGGCTTCTCCATTTATCCCTTAATTGGATTAAGCAACATTATTGATTTATTAAAATTGATCAGAGCAAATTCAGTGATAAACGAATGCAGACGAACTAGGAGAAGACGCTTCTATAATATCCGACATTGCGAATGCTTCAGAAATTCCAAGCTTTTGTTATGGGTTTCATAAATCACAGCAGAAACCATGTAGCAAGAATTCGAAAATCAGATGAGATTTTACAGATTTTACCAAGCCTTTTAAAGGCCCCAATTTCGAACATTCATTTATTTACTTATTGTTATACACAAAAGTGCGCCAAAAAT